AGAAAGAAAGAAAGAAAGAAAAAGAAAGAAAGAAAAAGAAAGAAAGAAAGAAAGAGTCTGTATTTTTAGGAGGCAAGCAACCCCTACTGTGTGCTCTTTGCCTGGAATTCCCTACCCCATCTAGGAAGTCCGAAGGGCTGGAAAAACCCTGGATCGGCTGCTGCCTTCCTCACTACCTTATCGCAGCCTGAGAACTTCCACCAACTTGTTACTATCCTACGGGGAGAGGCAAACACTGAACGCAGATGTTTAGAAACGTTTAGAGTGATTGGACATTGCCAGTATAGCCAAGAGGGTGATTACTTTTCTGGTAGTTGATTTTTTAACTAACTTTACATTTAGCAAAGCTATCATTCCACAGCAGCAGAGAGGAGTAATTGTTCACACTGGCCATTCGCCTCAGAAGCAAGCACAGAGCCGCGCCACACTCACTCCCCCATCAGAGAGGGATGCCGGCCCGCAAAGTGTCAGCCTCTAAATCTCTCCAGACCCTAAGTGTCCACATGGCAATACCTACTTGCAGGCTTGTCCACCTACCTATGATTAGGTACCAGGCCCTGGCTCTTCCTGCTCCTCTAACATCCTATCAAGGAAGAGAACTGCCCCCATCACTCTCTGATTTTGCCACAGAACTTCTTAGAATGGTAGCCCACAGGTCTTCCATTTCCTCACACTCTAGTCACACCATGATCGCTATAATCTGGTTGCCACCACCAGCTGACTGACACGAAACCTTCCAAGTTACCAGCAAACATCTACGCAATCTTACTCTTCCCCCCGCCCCCCGCCCCCGCCCCCAGTCTTTTACAGCACTCAAGGCTCTGGACATCCCTTCTGCTCCTTTCACAATAGCCTCCTGGTTCTCTCCAGTTTCTGACTGCTTCTCTTGACTTTTTGCTGCCTTTTAAGCTTTTATCCCCAAGTGTTCATTTTCCACCCCCAAAAGTTTTCCCCTTGGTTCTTCTAATAAACTCTTTCTACTTCTATCCACTCCCACCTGTTCAATCATCAGCTCAAAACAGATGACTTCCAAATCTGCACTTGCAGCCCTAGCCTCTTCTTTGGAGCTCCAATCCCCATTCCCAAATGCCTCCTGGACGAATCCCTGTATGTAAGTGCTACAATCACCATCTATTTCTGTCACTAGAGGGATGCCCGTGTGTCTTATTTATCGACCAAATGGTTTAGCTGCAAATGCCAGGCAAGGTGGGTAAAGCAGTGTACACAGCAGACATGGGTCTGCCCTCACAGAGCCTGTGATACTCAAGTATAGACCAGACAGGATGGACAGAATCGTCACAGCTGCCTCCGTGTCCCTAAGTAAATACAGGGCACCGTGCCGTTGTGGTGGGCTGGTCAAAGAGGGCTCTCTGAACAGGTGGCATCTAAATTAAAAAACAAATGGATGAAACAGCTAATTGGAGCAGTCAAAGGAAATCAACAGTCTGGGAAATACCAGCATCCTATAGAGTGTAAAACAGCAAATCAGCCTGAATGTGAGAAGCAAGGAGATGACAGACCTCACAAGGGGCTGTCTTTGTGCACTATGGTAAGGAATTCGGATACTGGTCCAAGTGCACTGAGGTGATGACAGATTTTAAGCAGTAGTGTAACATTTAATTTATGGCCTGTATTTACAGAACAGCTTTGTGGGGGCAAAATGCAAATAAAAAGACTGCTTCAAAGGCCAGTGAAATAATGTGGCTGGCAGAACAAATTGGAAAGGCAGAGATTCCATGACTCCAGTATCCTCCTACCTGACCACCCTTCCCCAAACCCGCACTTCTCCGTCATTCATACTACCACCCGATCCAGCCACTCCCTGTTCAGAGTCCTTGGCAGTTCCCCACTACATACAGAAGGGCCACCCTATTTAAAGCTCTCCACAATCCGAGCCCCGTCTACTTTACCATTATTTTTTCCCACTGCACTTGAAATCCTTTTAGATTAAGGTTCCAATACCAGAATACTCCCTGCATTCTGCCAAAATGTGTCTTTGCCCAGGCTTTTCCCCCAGCCTTTCCACCACCTCACTCCTCTCCTCTCCTCCCCATCTCAAATCCCACCAATCCATCAAGTTCTGGCTATAGCACCGCTTCTAACTAAGAAGCTCCCTCAGATTTTCCAGAAAGAACATACACCATCTGCTCGACTGGACAGCTTTGTGCACACTTTTCATTCTGCCTCAACTGCAGCCCCAGTATTTTTCTCACTCATAACTTTTCTCCATTAGATACCAAATAGTTTGTAGGAAGGAAAAGCTCCACAACCATTTCCCAGAACACCTAATGAAGTCTTGCAGAAAGCCATCTGTTCAAATTAAAATACCTTGTTTCTAAAAAACTCCTTGAAGCTTTCCATGCAGTTAGTGACTAAATACTCTCAAGTGGTCAAGCGCTATTGAAAGTAACTACTTTATCATCTCCTCCTATTCACCTGCCAGTTACCTGTTTAATAGTATCATTTATGTCGAGGAATGGGAAAAGAAATAAAATTAAGATTAGTGAAAAGTCAGAAGAGGAACAAGCTAGACCTGAAGTATATACAACCTCATTACAGCGAATCTTGTAAGTCAAATGAGAGGGGCCCCAGGGTGATTCAGTCAGTTGAGTGTCTTGACTCTAAATTTCGGTTCAGGTTATGATCTCACAGTCGTAAGATCACGCAGAGCCTGCTTGGGATTCTCTCTCTCCATCTCTGCACCTTCCCCACTTGCTTGCACGCTCTCTCTCACCTCACTCACTCTAAAAATAAACATTTTTTTTAAATCAAATACTAAAGGAACCACTTTATATTATAAAACTTTGGGGTACCAAATTTAGAGGAATCATCAGTGTAAGATGTATGCCAACAGGGCATAATGTCCAATCCTGAAATACTGTAAATCCCTAAACAAATATAAAGACAAAATTAAATTTATGACTATCAATTCAGGAAATCCTGTTTGAAGGAATTTTCACATATATAGAGAAAAGAGGTTCTGAAGTTGGGAATGTAACCTCAAATGCCAAATGTGCTATAGAGCAAGATTGGCAAACCGTGGCCCACAGATCAAATCCAATCTGCCATCTGTTGTTGTACAGAATGGTTTTTACAATTTTAAATGAATTTTTTTAATTCAAAGGATGATTAACATTTCATGACATGAAAATGATATGAAATATAAATTTCAGTGTCCCCACATAAAGTTTTATTGGAACACAGCCACGTTCATTTGTTTATAGATTGTTTATGGCTGCCTTGGTGCCACAATGGCAGAGGGGAGTAGATGGAACAGAGACCATATAGCCCACAAAACCTAAGCGGATACTTATATTTACTATATGGCCCTTTATAAAAAATGTTTGCCAATCCACCAGCTACACAATAAAAAAAAAAAAAAAAAAAAAAAGAGGTCCTACAGGCAAGGACTTATTCATGCCATGAGACTGCCATTCTTTGTGAAAAACGATTTGAAATCAGATTTCAAGGGCTACAAGGCACCTCTGACTGTATGATGGATATCAAATGTGAGAGACTTCAGCTTCTGATGGAAAGTAGCAGGCGCAGGGCGCCTGGGTGGCTCAGTTGGTCCTACTACTACTAAGTAGTAGGACTCAGGGCATCCTACTTTGGCTCAGGTCATGATCTCACAGTTTGTGGGTTAAGGCCCTGCGTCGGGCTCTGTGTTGACAGCTCAGAACCTGGAACCTGTTTCAGATTCTGTGTCTCCCTCTCTCTCTGACCCTCCCCTGCTCATGCTCTCTCTCTCCCTCTCTTAGAAATAAATAAAACATTAAAAAAATTTTTTTTAAAAAGTAGCAGGAGCAGATTTACCCTCCTACCTTAGACAATCAGAAAACTGGAGTTAATATGTGAAACACCTATTTTCAGCCATCCTACACCAGGCAGCGTAGGACTACCATCCCTGATGGAAGAGAATCAAAAAGGTAACCCTTAAGATTGCCCTGATTTTCTGCCTAGAGGCACACTGCAGATTGTAGAGGGGATGGGGGATTCCAAGCAGGGTATAATTGTTTTCCTATGCTTAAAAGACAGATACTGGAAATCTGTCCCAGATACTAGGAGTTTGAGGCAGGTTAAAGTTGCAGGACAAAGTTCTGGAGGGGAAGTAGCTACACAGAAAAAAAAGAACTCCAAAAATATGCCCATGGTCACCCAGTCTTTGCTTGATATTAATTTATGCATGTATAGGATGAAACTCCAGAGGCCGGGCAAAGAATGACCCAGGAGCTATGGACAGAATGGTTCCACAGAGCTCACACAATCTGAGAATTGTTTGGTTTCCATTAGCCAAATTAGAGGGTGCTCACTGATTATGCAGGGCATTCAGCAGAATGAGCCACACCTTAGTAGTAGAGCTAACCCATCCGGGGAGGGGGGCAGGGAGGTTACTTGAGACTATATAAAGTGTAAAAGATCTGAAAGGATTAAACTGAACTACAGTTAATTACCAGATTAAAAAAAAAAAATCTTTAGATGAAGACAAGATCTAGGCACCCAATAACATAAAATACACTATGTCTAGCATCCAATCAAAACTTACTAGACATGCAAAAAAAAAAAAAAGGATGTGACCCATAGCTAGAGAATAGTCAATAGAAACAGATCCAAAAATTATACAGATAATGAGTTCCAAAGACAAGAACTTTAAAATAGCCATTATTACCATGTTCAAATATTCAAAGCAGCCTTTCTTAATTCTCCCAAGGATGGTACACAGCTAGAACCACTCTGGAGAGAAGTTAATTCATGGCACACCACAGATAGATATGGCATTAGGCTGATTCTCTGGGAACTCAGTTGAAGAGGGGCTCGATACGAGAAATACATGAGCATAATGAGAGAAATGGAAAATGTAAAAAAGAACCAAATAGAACCTCTACAGAAAAATTAAAAGAAAACACAAGGTCTGAAATGAAAAATTCATTAAATGTGATTAATAACAGATTAAATAACTATAGAAGAAAAGGTTAGGGAACTTGAAGATGTAGCAATAAAGAGTATTCAAATCAAAGAAAAGAAGAAAAAGTAAATTGATGTAACAAAATTTAACCTTCAAATTGCATTGCTACAAATCACCTATTCAGAATAAAATAAAAGGTTTCCCATTAAATCTGCTTATTATGTAGACAGTCTGTTACCTACGAAAATTTTCCCAAGGTGCCTGGGCAGTTCAGTCAGTTAAGTGTCCAACTCTTGATTTCGGCTCAGATCATGATCTCATGGTTGTGAGACTGAGCCCCTTGCCGGGCTCTGTGCTGACATCATGGAGCCTGCTTGGGATTTTCTCTCTCTCCTCTCTCTCTGCCCCTCTCTAGCTCATATGCACATGTTCTCTCTCTCTCTCTCCCCCCGTCTCTCTCTCTCAAAATAAAAAGAAATAAACATTAACAACAACAAAAATTCCCAACTGAAAGTCCTAACAAAGGCATGTGATGGTGCTAGAATATCAAAACCCACAGGATAAATACAATACCTTCCTGGGCAGTAATTTTCATTAGTATTCAAATAAGTGTGTGTGCTTTGCCTCAGCTGCTTTAGGCTTCGTCTTCAGAGGGTATATGTGCATGTACTGACCCTCCTCTCTCTTTTAGATATGGGGTTTCTGTCAGGAGTACTTCATAGAAAAAGTTTAAGAAATGCTCACTTAATATTCGGGAAACTCCTAAGAACACCATGCCATTCATTTCAAGTTCACCTGCTAAATATTGACTTTTAGATTCGACCCCTAAGGCTCGGTTGGGAAATGGCACAGGGCTAGCTACTAAATTAGGTCTCTTCCAACACTCATTCCTTTGAGAAACCACCCAAATAACAAGTCATCAAGCCTTCTCTTGTGATAACAGATCAGTTTTAATTCTAGCACCTGAAGCTATACAAGGGTTTGCTTTATCAACTTCACGGGGCTGTTGTACACATTCAGTAAAGTGACAACCGTGCAATACCACTTAGTATCCCACCGTCAGGAACACACTTCTGAATTGCTGAAAACACAATCCACAAAATTAAAAACAAAACTCAGAAGCCATCCACAGTTATACTAATTGTCAATTCAAAGTTTTACACTTACTACTTGATAGAACAGTCAATACCTAGTACGGGATATCACAAGTGACTTCAGATTCTCACCCTGTTGTCATCTATGGAGGAGGTTTCTCAAGCAGGTGTGTGACTGGCCAAAGGTGGGTGCCCCCAGGACCAGGACCGCGACGGCAAGTACAGCGCTACCACAGTTTCTGTAGTTTTCACTGGTTTTTTTTTTCATTGTCAGTTAAAAGTGAACAGTGAGAATTAAATACTTATCTTTACATATACACAAGGTATGCTGTGAAAGCATATTTGCTTACAAACATATAAAAATACTTGTTAACTAGTTTGATAAGAAAATAATGTATAAAAGTATATAGCAAAAACATTAATCATCTCTGACCCCGGAAAGATCAATTCCGTATTTTATATTACAAACAAAAACAGTTTTAGTTCTTTTGAATCCCTTATCCAGAAATACTTGAAAAGGAAGACAGACAGAAATTATTTATTTTTACTCTCAACATGGCTGTGAAAAGAGTTAACTTAAAAAACCAAGAACATTGAAATGCCTAAATCCAGAATAAGTCCAAATATTTGGCCACAAAGAACATTATTATCATCTTTCGGAGTGGAGCTGTAATAAAGGCTTTATATGCAGTTTTTAATCTATAAACGTAACAGGCATTTTGGTATTTTGGCCACTGGAAAACAAAGGCTGTAGCATCGGTAAAGGTCTGAGATGTCTCACTTTTGTGGATTCAATTCTGTGTACTTAAGATTAACTAAAGTTGACATCAAAATTTTTAGAGATAGGCAAAACTTCACATTTAAAAACAACTCGTTTCTATTTAGAGTAACAATAGGCAATATGATTCCAGAAGTTAAAAGTTATTTCACAACCTATGACTTCAGCTTGGCAAACAGCTTAGGTTCCAAAACTGATTCATCCCTATTAAAATGTAAGCCCTTAAAAAAAAAAAATGTGTCTATGTATGTAGATCATTATTTTTAAGAAATCAGATAATCTTTGAAGCAGCCTTAGTGTTTCCTTTAAATGTGTCTTGAAATGACCATAGGATTAGCTTCACGGAAAGGATTAGCCAGCTTCTTGGTCTAAGGCTACCACGGTGATCATTTGTCTAAGGCTAGAAAGGTACCAACACGATGTGATGTAAACCATAAGGAGAGGAGGAGAAGATGAGGGCTTTTCCTGGCAGTTGGTAGCTAAAATTCAAGGGATTCTTAGAAAATGACACAATGGCAGCCTTTCTTGTCTTTTTCTTTCCGTGTTGGTTCTGGTGAAGGAGGACATTCCTGCTCTTGAAATTTCCTGTAAGACAGAAAAATGTATGTTTAATCGCCCTGCTGGTAACACATTATTACAAACATATTATCTTTGGACAAGTCTAGTTTATGTGCATATGCTTCTCGATGTTGAATTTCAACTGGGAAATCGGAGCAAATCTCGGGGAAAAAGGTACAGATGTTTCAACACTAGAATAAAGCAGAGCCATTTGAGCTCCACTGACAGGTGAGTCTTGAATCAGATGCAATACAGAACCCAATGACCTCTAAGTTCCCTTCCCAATGTGAAACTCCATGACAGTAAGGTATACTTAAGAAGAGGCATCCAGGGGCGCCTAGGTGGTTCAGTCAGTTAAGTATCTGACTCTTGACTTAGCCTCAGGTCATGATCTCCCAGTCTGAGATGGAGCCCTATATCAGGCCTGCTTAGGAGTCTCTCTCGTTCTGCCCCCTCCCCTGCTAGCACTCTCTCTCTCAAAATAAATAAGTAAACATTTTTAAAAAATAAGCAACCATTGCTAGAGTAAAATATAAAGTACATACCCATACGAGGTACACAGTTTCTGTTCCTGTTTTGCCACTTACTAGCTACAAGTCAGCATTAGACAAATTAGCTGACCTCTGTGAACCTCGGTTTTCTAGAAGAGAATAATAAAACTCTACCTTTCACAGTTGCTATGAGGGTTAAACATGATCTTGTTATGTTTAAAGGCCTACCAGTGGCTGGCATTTAAAAAAAACAAAAACAAAAAACAAAAAAAACTCCCCTAGGAGTACCTGGCTGGCTCAGTGGGTAGAGCCTGTAACTCTTGATCTCAAGGTCATGAGATCACGCCCCTGTTTAGGTGTGAAGCCTACTTAAAATTAAAATTAAAATAATTTTTTAGTTGCCTCTTCTACCCACTTCTCCAGATTAACTGATGGATTTGGACATAGATTCTGAGTATCAAAACCAAGGACAAAATATTCAAAAGGCAGTAAAAGTTATTTTAAGAAAATAATGGTTTGTGTGCGCATGCCCACATTAAAATACATAACAAAACTTAACATCTTAACCACTTTTAAGCATACAGCCCAGTGGTATTAAATATATTCACAATGTTACTACTGCCACCATCCACCTCCAGAACTCTTTCCATCTTGCAAAACTGAAACTCTGTATTCACTCAAAAATAATGGAACTTTTAACAAACTACTAAAAAACCAAGAACTATAATCTTTACTTTTCTTTCCCCACAAAGAAAATGCCCAGGCAAGGGGTTAAAGAAGTACAAGAAGCTCATAGCCCCGATGTCGATTCACCTTATATACACCATTATACCAGCTCACTCCAAGTATGTCAAGCAGAGAGACCTGCAGATCTAGTGAGCCCAAGGTGAAGTAGGCGCCAAGCCACCATGGCTAAAAATAATCTAATCAAACCCCTCCCACTATACAGCGACTCAATCTTTCTCACACAGAAACTAACTCTGGGCCACCTGCCCTTCGCCTCAAGCTTCCTGGAACCATTAACACTTTCTGAACCGCAGGGGCCTTCTAGGCCAGCGGAACAGAAAAGAACAGAAAAACCCTTTGTTTTGTGGGATATCATACTTCGCACCCTGAATGGGAGCACCTCATTATCTCCCTACCCGGCTCCCGGCTCCCCCGCAGGCTGGGAGGAGGTGGGTAAGAAGCAAAGCCTAAGAACACAGGCTCTGGAACCAGAGACACAGAGTCAAGTCCCAGCCCTGCCGTGTAAACTGAAACTCTGAGCAAGTTAACTAACCTCTCTATACCTGCTCTCTCATCCAAAAGTGGGGATAAATGAAAGTATTTCGCTTACTGGGTCGTGAGGAAGTTTAAATGTAATAACACAGGTAAAGTATTAGACACAGTACCTAGCAGAGTTCTCCACTCAAACGTTAGCTGTTGTCATCCCTATCTCCCTACCACTGATACCACTGAAAGTAGTATACGTTGTTTTTTTCTAAATCCCTTTGTGTACTCTCTACTTCAATATAATTAAATTTGGCTTTATATGTAGGAAGTTCCTAGTATACGATAAGTACTTAATTAAAATTTTTAACCCACCACGCGCAGTGACTCCTAGCACAGAAGCACTCTTATATACAATTTACTCTTTCTTACTGAAAACATTTAATGGCAATTTCTTCCTTAGTTAATGGTTTTAAAAAGCACAGTGTGATTACTTGTCAAATTCAATAAATTAAAATAACTTCTAAGACATGTTTCACTTACCTTATAACCCGGACCAGTTCATGGAAAGCTTGATCTACATTCATCCTAATCTTTGCTGACGCCTCCATGTATGTTACCTTAAGCTGTCGGGCTAACTGCTGTCCTTCTTCCTGTGTTACCTGAAATTCCAAGAGTTGTATCTGAGGTGCATAATTAAAAATCAGATCTGCTCCATCTAACCCTCTAGTCACAGACTGCACTCCTAATCCAGCCAGAGGCCAAGTTGATTTCTCATAAGACAAACCAAGACATTGAAAAGCTCAATACATACGGAAGCCCAGCTCTGAAGAACATGCTTGTGACCAAATATTACCATGTCTTTAATATTCTAGTCTGTTGATTACTTCAAAAGTATTAAGTACAATGGTGATAATTCTGGTAAGGAAAAGTACAAGGTGTGTATTGTGTGTATAACCTTGTTGGGCAGGTCAGGGAAAGCTTCTCTGAGGAATGACATTTAAACTAAGAACCAAATAAAGAACATGGAGTTAGTTAGCGGTGGGATAAGAGTGTATCCCTGACCAAAAAAAAAGAGGCCTGTGTGAGGGCTGTGGGGAGCAGAGTTACCAGGTTCCAAGTACTAAAAGAAGTCTAGAAAAGCTAAAATACATCAAGGCAAGAGAGAAAACCACCAGGAACGGGTGAGGATGAAGAGGACAGAAGCCTTCCTCGTCTCTGCACTCCCCAGTACCCGGTACATGAGAGACACTCCATAAATGTGAGAAAAAATAATGATTATGATCACAACGGCTTTCTTATATTAAGACAAGAAGCGTAGCAGAGGCGATGACCTAAAAGAGGAGGCCAGTTAGAAAGATAAAATGAAAACATTACCCTACACATTTTCAATGTAAATGTTGAAGTAGTGATATTTACTTAAAACTGTCAAACTACATTTATACAGTGAATGAAAAATATCTTTCTAAAAGAATGACTTTTATTGGTGTCTTTGCCACAAAAGTAAACACCTGCAGAAAAGTTAGAAAATGTAAATTGAGGAAGGGAATAGATTCAGGAACCTATCTCCCATTGAGAACACACTCTTCCGGTCTCTCTTCAATGATAGACATTTTTCTCTACAAAAAGAGGAACATGATTTTTGGAAATCTGTTAAACTCACTTATCTGGGTGTTCTTTTGTAAATTCCATATGTGTTTGTACATGAACAATCATGTCATTTACTAATAAAGACAATTTTGTTGCTTTCTGATATGGATACCTTTCTTTTTCTGGCTTTACCTCACTGCATAGACCATTCACTGCAGCGACAGCAGCATTCACACCTCTACCATTAAGCCCATTATTAGTTGTAGGGTTTCACTGCAGATCCCTTTTATCATGTTAACAAAGTTTCTGCTATTTCATTTGTAAAGAGTTTTTTAACAGTATGTTGAATTTTCTTAAATCTTTTTTCTGCATCTGCTGAGATCACAAATTTTCCACATTAGTCTGTTAACCTGGTGAACTCTGTTCATTCATTTTTGTCTGTTAAATCAACACTGCATTTCTGGAACAGACCCCACCTGAGTGATGATGCATTGTCCTTTTCATACACTACACTGTTAAATTCTATTTACTAAAATTTTAAGAATTTTTACATATATGTTTGCAAGAATTATTGGACTGTAGTTTTCTTAAATCTTTGGCTTTAGTATCAGAGTAATGCTGGCTTCATATAAGAAATTGGAAAGAATTCTCTCAGCTTCAATATTCTGGAACACTTTCAGCAAAATCAGTTTGGTATAATTCACCAGTGAATCCATCTGGACCTGGGGTTTTCTCTGAGGGAAGGTTTTTATAACCAGTTGAATTTATATTAGAGATACAGTACTATTAGGGTTATCTATATTTTTTTCTTGAGTTTCGATATTTTGTGCACCTTTTAAGAAGTGTCTATTTCTTCTAACTTGTTGAATTTATTGGTATAAAGTTTCTTTAGTACTATGGTATTTCTTTTTATAATATTTATTATATTTTCAATGTCTTTAATATCTGAAGTGATGGTATCCCTCCTATTACTGATATTGGTACTTTGTGTCTTTGCTTTTTTTAACCTGGTTATTCTGGCTAGATTTGTCATTTTGATCTTCTAAAAACTAGATTTATCTTTCTATAATTTTTCTATTTTCAATTTTGTTAATTTTCATTCTTTATTATTTACCTTCTTCCAATTACTTCTAATTTGCTCTTTTTCTTCCAGTTTCTTGAAGTAGAATTGAGACCTTTCCTTTTCTAATATAACCAATGCTATGAATTTCTCTATAGTTTCCTCTTTAGTAGCATCCCAAATTTTGATACGTTGTGTTTTAATTATTCAATTCATAATACTTTGTCATCTCCCTTTTGATCATTTCTTTATAACAAGGGTAAATTAGAACTTTGTTGGTTTCCTCATATTTAGAGGTTTCCTAGCTATGTTCTCTTAACTGATTTCCAAATTAATCCTCTATCATGGTCAAGAAACATACCTGGTTTCACCCGAATCCTTCTAAATTTATTGTTCTTATTTCAAAATAATGTGTATTTTGCTACTGTTGGGTGGGGCAGTCACTAAATGCTAGAATTAATTTGTTCAACATTGTTGTTCAAGCCACCTATATCCTTACCGGTTTTCTTTCTACTCAATTATTGAAAGGGGTGTTGAAAATTCTGACTATTAAATGTGAACATGTCAATTACTCTTTGCAGTTCTTTCAATTTTGCTTTAAGAATTCTGAAGTTGTGGTGTGCCTGGGGGGCTCAGTCAGTTTAGTGTCCAACTCTTGGTTTGGCTCAGGTCATGATCTCAAGGTTTGTGAGTTTGAGCCCCATGTCAGGCTCTGTGCTCATAGTTCAGACCTTGGAGCCTGCTTCAGGTTCTGGGTCTCGCTCTCTCTGCCCTCCCCCACTCATGCTCTGATTCTCTATCAAAAATAAACAAACTTTAAAATCAGAATCTTGGAGGATGTTATTCAATATATAGATGCTTAGGATTGTTGTGTCCTGTTTTTTTTTTTTTTTAATGTTTTATTTATTTCTAGGAGAGAGAGAGAGAGCGAGAGAGCAGGGGAGGGTCAGAGAGAGAGAGTCACAGACTGAAACAGGCTCCAGGCTCTGAGCTGGCAGTCAGCACAGAGCCCTACGCGGGGCTCGAACCCACGAACCACGAGATCATGACCTAAGCAAAAGTCGGATGCTTAACCAACTAAGCCACCCAGGCGCCCCTGTCCTGTTCTGTTCTTAATGAATTTTTCATTATAAAACAATCCTCTACTCCTGGTAGGGTTTTGGTTTTTGTTTTGTTTTTTCTCTGTAACTGACTTAGTCTGATATTTATATTGCTACTTCAACATGTTTTCCATTAGTATCAGCATTGGTATAGCTTCACTTTTAACCTATTTGTGTCTTTTACACTAAAAGTAGATTTTTTTTTTTTTAAATTTATTTCTAAGAGAGACAGAGAGAGAGAGAGAGAGAACAGGGGAGGGTCAGAGAGGGAGGGAGACACAGAATCTGAAACAGGCTCCAGGCTCTGAGCTGGCTGTCAGCACAGAGCCTGATGCGGGGCTCAAACCCATGAGATCATGACCTGAGCCAAAGTCGGATGCTTAACCGACTGAGCCACCCAGACGCCCCTGAAAGTAGATTTCTTGTAGACCTTGCTTTTTTATCCAATTTGACAATGCCTTTTAACGGAGGCGTTCATACTATTTACTATCATGATTACTGTCATCACTGAATCATCATCTTGATAGGTTTCCTATTCATCCTATTTGTTCTTTGATCTGCTTACTCTTTTTCTATCTTCTTCTAAGTTAACTATATTGCTCTTATGATTCCATTTTATCTCCTTTGTTAGCTACTGAACTACATATCATGTTATTTTAATGACTGCCTTAGAGTTTATAATAACAGTTTTCACTCGTCACAGTTCAAATGCATTGTGCCCATTCATGTACAGTGTAAGAACCTTACTACAGTAGTACATTTCTCTCTCCCACATTTTATGATCTTTTACCTCACAATGGATTGTTACCTTTTTTTTACTTTAAACATCCGGATTATATTTTAAAGAGATAAATAATAACAAAAGTAATTTATATTTATCCACATAATTGCCATTTCTGGTGTTGTTGTTTTTTTTTAAATATAGATCTAGATTGTTGATATTTGGTATAATTTTCCTTCTTTTTACATTTCTTGTAATGCAGGTCTGCTGGTAATAAATCTTCTCTTCTTACCTTCTGCAGATTTGTGGAGTATTTCACCTTCAAATTTTTTGAAACAAATGTTTAATGGGTATTTAGTTCTAGAGGAGTTTTCTTCTCTCAGTACTTGAAAGATGTTGTGTCACTATCTTCTTCCACCTTGAGTCATTCATTGCCCGTGAGAAACAGTGATGACCGCTGCCATCCTATCTTCGTTCCTCTGCATGTAATAGTTTTCTTTTCCCCTAGTTATCTGTCACATTTTATCTTTTTCTCTGGTTTTAAACAATTCCATTATAATGTGTCTCGCTCTAACTTTCTTCATATTTCTTATGTTCGGAGTTTGTTGAGCTTCTTAAGTATGCATTTTACACTTTTCATCAAATTTAGACATTTTCCAGCTATTACTTCTGGCTATTAATCTCATCCAGGGTATTTTTCATCTCAGACACTGTGGTTTCAATTTCTACCAAGTTTGATTTTGATCTTTCTCCATCTTCCATGTCTTTCCCTAACATACTCAATTTTCAGTCTTTCCTCTAGCTTCTTGACTGTATGGAATATAGTCAAAAGAACTGTTTAAGGCTCACTAGTTCTATCCTGTGTCATTTCTGGGTCTGTTTCTACTCCTTGTTTTTTTCCTTAGTATGAGTCATATTTTCCTGCTTCTTGCTTGGTAGTTTTTGAGTGGATGCCTGGGAACTAGACTTTGACCTACTGGGTTCTGGAATAGTTTGTATTCCTATAAATATTCTTGAGCATTCTTCTGGGATGCAGCTATTTGGCAACTGCAATCCTTTTTCCTCCGTAGTACCAGAACAGAATTCATCTAGAGCCAATTTTGCCCTCCTATGACTGGAACAAAACCTTCTGATTACACTACCCAGTACCCCAAGAACTAATGACATTTTTCACTCTGGCTAACTAGAACA